TACGTTATTCTTAGGGGTTTTTATAATATTTACTAATACATATTTATTAAATTAATTTTTTTTTATAATTACAAAAACACACAGTCAGTACCCACAGACATAAAGAATAATAAAAACATGTCAACAACACATACAATTAATAAAAATTATATATGCATATATGTATGTATGCCTTTGTATTAGGTTGTCCCGTGGACTATAAGAAAATACAAAATACTTTTTTTGGAAAAGAGTCTCAATTCTTTACCAGTGAATGAAAATCTTGATCTCGGTACAATATGCTAAAAGAATTCTGCAATCTTCTCGAAATGGGTTTAAAAAATTCCGTCATTTTGGCTTTATGGCACGAAAAATAATTAAAATTTTTGTTAAAGTATCTCTGGATATTTTTCTCATATTCAGTACATTAATAAGCAACTATTGAGAGGTATCACTCGAATCACTACACCCATTATTATGGATTTTTTGTAAAGATTTAATTTTGGGGATTTCAAGATTACTATTACTAAATTGGGTTTTTTTATATTTTCCTTTAATAAATTTTGTTGAAATATTTTTTGCTAGGATTTTTTGGATACCAGACATCAACGCATATGTGAAAATATCAATGCGGACTAGCTGACTAACTGGGAACTTCAGTAACATAAGGGGGAGTAGACGCTTCATTTAAAAGAAAGTAAAGGATCATATATCCAATATATGAAAATTGTCGATCGATTGGTAGTTAAATATTCTTCCAGTTCGAAAATTCTAAAAATGTATTTACTATTTTCAACTGGTTCCACGAATTTATTCCACTGAACTAGTGTAGTACCACTGCATAACTAATGTAAAAGAACGAGTTCTTTTAAAACTCTTAAGAAAAACTTTTAAATCGCAACAATGATCTATAGAACTAATTCTGAAAGTAATGGCGACAAAGTTGTTCAAGTTGTTCAATCTAAAGTGGTTCTGTTTGTACCCAATCTAGAAATGGGGATTTTCATTCTTTTTAAAAAAGATTTTAAATTATTGATGAATTTTTACATAAAAACCAATAATTTTAAAATCTTCAAGGGACATAACAAAATTTAGATTAGTTTACATATATATAGACAAAGTAAAGTGGGAATTAACTATTATAAGCTCAAAATTTCAGCATTTTCGACATACATTTCAAAAAGATTGCAGAACATTTTTTTAACATATTGTATTGAGATCAAGATGACCTTTTCAAAAAAAGTTTTTTATTTTTCTAGTATTTAGTACATTAAATGCATAGTTTGAGAGGTATTTCTCGAAAAAAGTGGCCCACGTGACACTCTACTATACATTTATACATACATTTATATACAATTGATAGGTTTCACTATTAAAAAATTTGTTTATTTACTACAAATAAATCGCGGTGATAGAAACAAGTTTTTCAATTTAAATTGTTTTTCCTGTAAAATTTTAAAAATGTTAGATAGGGCCGTTTGCGTTTTATGTGTATGTATATCAAGTTTTGTACTAATCCTATCCAAACTATTCAAAAATTAGGAACGTACAAAAAGATCACTCGTTATATGTATGTATTCCCATTAAAAATCTTGATGGTATATACAAATACATATGTATGTACACAAATTATTTTATTTTCAAATATTACCTCCCAAAATCATTTTTAAAACTTATACAATTATATTCGAATTTCGAAACCATTTTCAACTTAAGATTATTCCTGTATGTTTGCACTGCAAAAACTTTGCAGGGTATACATTCATGAACATTAAAATATTTATATATACATATACTTACATATATTTATGTACATATATTAGAGTATCCCGAGGAAAAGCTTTGAAAACATTTTTCAAATAATGCTTATTTTTGTACTGAAACTGGGTAAAATATAAAAATAAATTTGTAAAGTGTCTACAGTTCCCTACCAGCGATTAAAAATCCGGAAATCTGTACAAATTATCGAAAAAAAAATTCCACAAAATGGGTCTTGCAAATTGCCTAATTGTACTGAGATTAGAATTTTCAATCGCTAATAGGGAAACTGAGGACCCGTATTCAGTACAGTAATACACATCGTTTCAAAGGTGAGCCTACAAAAAAGTTGTCCACGGGACAATCGAATGTACATATTATCACTCAAACACATACAGCTTAAACACCAATACACCACAATTAATAAAATAAGGTGATTTAGACAGACATTCATTGATGACATAGTAATGATTAAATAGAGACACTTGTATTTTACACATGTAAATGTATGAATGTATATATGTATTATGTTATGTAAATATTGTGTAATATTGTATATATGTATGTATATTAGGCCGAACCATTCTGTATATTTGCCTACTTTTATTTTGTGATATCTTTCAAAATAATTTTGGTCTAGAGTTGACCGATTTCAATTGGCATCGTTTGTAAAAATATAATACTACAATACTAAAAAAACAATTTTATTTTTTTACATAGCGGCTTCGAAAAATGTTTGAAATTATATCTCTCAATTTGAGCAGGTCCAATTTGTAAGTTCGTAAGTTAGTATTCTAATAACGAAAACATTTTTCTTTGGTCATTTTGTGCAAAATTCTTTTAGTAGTATAATCTACATGTTCCACTAAATCTACATGGATACTAACCGTAGCCCTATCCTTGATTTTTCTCCTTGTAAATGTCGTCGGCCAAAAAAATTCAAAAAATTAATTAAAAATTTTACAGCATTTGCCGCTAGGAAAAAAGGTGATATACTTTTTCGGCGTACTTTTTAATACTCTACATATGTGGAATGGATAGGGCCGATTTAAAATTTTTAAAAATATTATAACCTTAATGTTCATGTTATTTAAATTATTTAAAAATGCATGAATTTTTTATTGTTCACTTCAATGATACAAAACAAATAGGAAGCAAGTGAGAGTGTTATATTCGGCTATGACGAATCTCATATACCCACTATCAAACGGTAGGCTCGTAAGAAACTTACTTTTAAGGCAGCAATGAGCGTTAAATTAATTATCTGAAGGGGATCTTATAGTGGGATAAAGTCAATTATGGACCGATTCACATAAAATTTGGTTAAGAGATTTTGGTTGGCAAGGAACTTACTTGGATCGAATTTCATCGCTTTACTCATATTTTTAATCCAGTAATGAGAGTTAAAGTCATTTTTTAAGGGGGCCTTATATGGGGAGTAGAGTAAATTATGGACCGATACAAATAAAATTTGGTAGAGAGGTTTTGGCTCGTAAGATACTTATGTCAAATTTCATAGCTATACTCGTATATTTAAGCCAGTAATGATCGTTAAAGTCATTTTTGAAGGGGACCTTATATGGGGGGTAGGGTCAATTTTGCACCAATCCACATAAAGTTTGATAGAGAGAATTTAGCTCGCAATAAACTTACGCATGTGTATTGAATTGCATAGCTATACTCGTATTTTTAAGCCAGTAATGAGCGTTATAGTCATTTTCTGAAGGATATCTTATATGGGGGGGTAGGGTCAATTATGGGCCGATCCACATAAAATTTGGTAGAGAGGTTTTGGATCATAAGGGACTTATTTATGTCAAATTTCATTGCTATACTAGTATTTTTAAACCATTAATGTGTGTTAAAGTCATTTTTTGAATGGGGTTAGGGTCAACTATGGACCGATCCACATAAAACTTGATAAAGCGATTTTGGCTCCATTGGGTAGGGTCAATAATGGACAGATCCTCATTAAATTTGAAATGGAGATTTTTGAACATATGAAACTTAATTGTGTTGAATTTCATCGTTATACTCGCACTTTCAAAACAGATATGCCCGTTAAAGCTGTTTTTCAGGGAGACATGGGTAGATCGTCTTAGAAGTTAATAAGGACCCAGAATATATATACTTTTGTGGGTCTATGACCAATATTTCAAAGTGTTACAAACGGAATGACAAAATCAATATACCACCATCTTTTTTGATGTGATGTGGGTATAAATATGTATAGTCCTGCCATATTTAAAATAATTTGCGGTGGTTCTATATTGGGGGAGAATCAGAATTCAGCAGCATTTAATCAATATCTAAGAATATTTATTTATACCCACTATCAAAAAAGATTTTGTCATTCGTTATTTATGACGTCAAACTATTGATAGAGGACCCTCAAACGTATATGTATATTCAGTATTCTTATTAAGTTCTAAAACTATCTAATTAAGAGAAGATACACAAATTTTCTCTATTGTGCAATATCAGTCCACAGTTTCATCTAGCTATCATATACAGTTTGAACAGTTTGTTAGTCAGTGGTTAGTAGAGATAGGAAATAAAAAGATCGGTTCATAACTTTCTCTACCTCACATACATATAATGACCAATTTCAGAAAATTACTGTAAATGAAGATATGTGACATGTCTTCAAAAAATCGGCAATATTGCTGATGTGTGTCTCCGATGTGTTAGGTATGCCTTCGTTGGGTTAGTGTTCTAGTCTCTTAGACCGGAGGTCGTGGGTTTGATTCAAACCACAGACACTGGAAAAGGAGCGCAAAATAGGCCTAATGTAGGCATATGTGTTTTTCTTCGGATTTGATGTAACATGTGTACATCCTCCTTTCAAACTAACTAACTAATATTGCTGCTAAATTTTATAAAAATAGGCCGGAAATTTATTTATAAAGATATTAGTAGAAGATCAGTTTATTGTCAATATTGCTCGGATAGTGAGTATATAAGATTCTGAATAACACTCTAACATGTTAAGTACTTATTAGTATATGGGTTTAATTTCGAATGAAGTGAATTTTATATACACACATACATATGTATGTTTTTCTATGATATGTTTTTATAATTTCTGGTTCGTGTTTGCCTCCGATGCTTATATCTCGTAACGAGCTTCCAAAGACCATTTTAAAATTTATTTAAATCGGCTGCTATCTACATGCTCTCAATTGTCTGTATATTGTAATTGGCAATGTGTAATATGTATGTCGTATGTGTTTAATGATTTTAATGTGATTTTTTATTTATACCTTTGATGTGCAAAAACAGCATTCAAATTCCACAGGTACATCTTGATCATAATTATCCATGCGTTGATTTTGCAAATTTTCAAGCGCCACCTGGCGACGCAACTCTGCCACTTCCTACAAAATGTGTTTTCATGTCATTCGTATTTTTCATGTATTTTTTTAATTTAAAAATTAAAAATTATATTTTATAATAAGAATTAGAAAAAAATTTAAAATGCAATAAAAATAAGACAAAATTACAGACATAGTTTAAAACATACACAATAAACATACATGGAAACATAATAAAAAATATATATAATCTAATATATATATACAATATAGATATTTTAGATTTAATGAAATAAAATATTAACTATAAGATAAATAAATATGAATATATTTATAATAAAAATATATTGATAGTTACATTCACATAGACACCGATTAAAATTTGTATGATAAATGTTTTCGTTTACTTATGTATGTATATGTTTTATATTTACATTAAAATTAAAATAAAGATTGAAGAAATAAATATGTATGTATGTAAATGATAAATATTTTATATGCAGTAGGTATGTATATATTTCATTTTGAATAAGTATTTTCATATGAATATGTAGAAAAATCATAAAAGCGTGCATTTTAAATAAAAGAAGCTACATTCGATCTTTTTATTTACGATCATGTTGTAAGTATATAATGACGTGCTAATAAAAGATACAAAATTATAAATATAATTAATAATAGAAAAGAACTGGTGGTATCTTAAAACGAACTGAGAAAAATCTGCAACTTAAATCTCATACAGAAAAGTTTTTCATTTATATTGTATCAGGCTTCACATATTTTTCAGTTCTATTTCCAATTCTTGAAAAATAATTTATTAAATTTGCTTTAATTATAGTTTAATTCCAGTTGTATATTATTATTTTATATTATATATTATTTATGGACATCAAAGAAAGGTCCGCATTACCTTTGCTATAAATTAAATAAAGTTAATCAAATAAGTTTTATATAGTAATAGGATATTTGTTTTCGTATCTTGTTTCTACGTTGGAAAACCCTATTATAAATATGAATTTTTATTAGATTGAGAGCTTTTGAATCGAAATACGAATTTAAAAAAATATCCGATAATTTTTCCTCAAATTGTATAGAGCAATATTCAAATAGATAGTGTTTTTCCGAATTTTTGAACTTTTGAGAAGGGTACTCGTCCATTCCCTTTAAAGTTATTACATTCGCTATTTCGTTGCCGACTACTCCCGAGTGACCTAGTATAGTATTCGGAAAAAGCTATTTGACAATCCAATACGGCCCTAGATTTAACTTTATCATCTGACTTCGCCCTAATTGCCTTCTGGCTGTGGGTAAATACATTAAGCCCTGTGGGTATTTGCTCTAATGTTCCACTTGACCAAGACATTCTATCTGGCATCAGTGTTTCCCATAACAGCTTTTGACCAGTTCGCATAAAGTTATGAACCGTTTGGCTGTAAGTACAGCCAGATATCTTATATATGGGATTTCTAGCAACTTTTACAGAGCCTTGGTTGACGTAAAACTTATGGCATCACTTATACCCAAGCAGCATGTATGTATGCTGAACTCCCTGGAGTAGTTTGATATTACACTTTTTGTCCAAAGCTAGAAATAGACTAATTACACTCTTATAAAGCCAACAATGTGTCATAGTACGACTAAGGGCCGATTTCATGCCTACGGTTCTGCTACATGTTGATCCTATCCTCTTTGTAGTTTCTCCATTTTATTTACCGGTCAAGGATTACAGCTAAGTACTTAATTCTGTCTGTCACCGAATATCTTCTTGCCCATAAAACTACTTTGAAATTTGTGTCTTTCTTGTGAAAGGACAGGCCTCTTCAGCTCTTCTACACAAGTAATTTGGATATTTTCCCTTAAAAATATTACGACATCATCTCCATAGCAACCAGGTCTAAGGCCTTTCTCGGTTAGTGTCATATGGAGGGTCCAAACAAAATGCCACCTTGTGGTGTACCGCGGAATACCCTTGTCCTGATAGTTATATCGTTCATCTCGTAGATTATCCATCTGTTCCTTAGCATGTAGTTGATCCCGTTACGGAGCACACGGTCAACATAAAACTGGTCTAAAGATTGGATAAGAGTATCAGTGTGTACGTTATTGAAGGCGCCTTCAATGTCAATGCATATCGCCAGTGTATACAGTTTGACATTGAAGGATTCACCTACATATATAGTGGACAACTTCGTTTAACGCAGTTTTCACCGATCGTCTGATTTAAATTTACAAACGGTATTAGAAATAAAACTTTGAGACCTCTCGAATAGCATATATCGTCACCTTAATATAAAATTTTCGTTTTCTAGTATAATTTCGAGTCTATAATCTAGGCAGCCGCTTTGCTTATATATATTCAACGTATTTTTCCAATTAAATCTTTAATACAAATATGACTCAACCATAATCGGGTGATCATCCGTACATACATGTGTTAGCTGTACAATTGTATTGAAAATTCAAACTGTATACATAGGGCAAATGGTACCTATGTGCATCGCTTAATGTTTTGAAAATACGACTAGTATAAACAAAAGAAGTGGTACACAGAAGTAACAGTTGGGTCGAAAGTGTTAAATCCGAAATAATTTTGGAATTGTACCAACATTTAATAAAATGTGATCAAATAGCATTCAGAATAATTTCAATGTTTTGGGTAAATTTAAGGCAATTACTGCTTGAATATGTAGTTTATTTATGTAATTTATCTTTAAAAAAATATATATTTTATAAACAATTTTAAGTTTTTGTTTGTTTGGAGGCATAAAATATATCGCTCGTATTATTCAAAATTGTATTCGATTACTTAAAACTTGTAAATCGGAAAGCATGTGTAAATGTATGTAATTTTATTTATTCGAAACACCTTGTTCGAAGACAATTGACTCATTCTCTGACTTTTTTTGTTATAAGTAATATATTCAAAATATGTTAAATAAATTTATTAATATTTTTTTTTTGCAGAAAGTGATATTCCCATGCCTCATCAATGAAAGTTACATTTATTATGTGGATTGGTAAGATAAAATGTTGGTTTAAGCAAAATTTTATATTAATAGCCATATTTTAAAGCTCTAACATCAATAATATTCCGTATGGCAGATACGTTGAAAAGCACGATTCAAAACTATGATGATTACTTTGATTTCGATCCAGAAATATCGGATGAAGTCAGTCTAAATGCAGTCCATAAACCAAATAAACTAATTGTTAATGGTCTTACAAGGTCGGATATTATGACACTCACGGAATTACCAACAGTCATCGAAACTACAGAATGTGGTAAAGAAAATGTCTATATTCATTGCGTTTAGATATATGTAAATCATAATATTATTATAGTAACTATACAACCTATGAGTCCGCTACCACCATTAATGCAGGAAACATTACCCGGAGCACAACCACAACAACCAACAGGAAATGCGCCACAAAATAATATCAACAATGAAGATCAGAATGATAAAGCTAAAGAATTGAGAAATTTAGTACAACTTTTATACATTGCGCAAGCAAGGGTACAACTTGAAGCTGCTGAAATTAAAAAAGCCCAGGCCGTTGCTAATTCGGCGCAGCAGTGCCTTGAAGAAGCTGCCAATCATGTACGAACAATAACAGCTGCCTTGCAAAATTCTCAGCAAGAAGTTGCATCTGCTGCTATACGTGCACAAACCGCTCAGTTGCAACTTGCAGCCCATGATCAATTGCTGTTTGCTGCACGTCAAGATGTAGATGCCTTGTCATCACAAATGGTGGGCTTACAGGCAGCTGAAGGCATAACACAACCCAAAGTTACAGTCGATTTAACAGAACTATTAGAAAAACTCAAAAAACCTTTGCAGGAAGCTGAAAAACCTACACCCGTGCCTACAGTCTTACAGATTCCCACTCAAACTACAAATGATCATCGTATGCTGCAACACTTTAAGGAACCAGATTATCAACATTTTTATTATAAATAATTAAGATTGGCATGCAAATTGAATTTATTTATGCATTTTTAATTTATATTTTATAACTATATACTTTGTAGATGTATTTGTAAAACTTTTACCGTTATTAAAAAAATCAACTTGAATATTATAACTGAAGAAGTAATGCAGTAAGAGTTTTAAATTGTATGAAAATAATAAAAATCGGTTATATCGTTAGCTTAGTACGAGTGACAAGTCCACTTTTAAACGAAATTGATAGTGGTAGTATACTAGAAATACACATTTCAATCAAAAATTGCAGTTATTGGAACACTAAACATGTAGTGTTGTTATGGTATGCAAATGTACTAAGTCCTAAAAATTAAAAATATACAAAGAAGACGTGCTTGGTCCTTACAAGTTGCTATTATAAACGCATTATTTAGTCATGTAAAGAGAAATATCAAACATTTTGTACATCAACGTGTAGGCAATAGTGTTTAGTTTGTAAAATCATCAATGATTTAGAACTCATGGAATAAGTTTTTTCAAATAAAGTAAAACAAGTAAATATTAAGAATCAACTGATTTTCTTTAGGAGTAATGATATAGAGAATAGAATAAATTATGGACCGAATCTCATAACAGTTAGTAGATAAATTCTGGTTCCTCTATAACTTGTTTAAGTCGAATTTCATAGCTATACAGCTATTATAAGCCAGTAAAAACAATACCCTATCCTTGTATATAGATTTTGGGTTCTATAAAACTTATGTATGTCGAATTGCTTCTTTTACTTTATGTAATCATTGCACCCCGCATGCACTATAGGAACTATTACAAACACCTAGACTCTTCGTGTACATCCTGATTAGAGGAGGCCTTAATCGAACTACCATTTGGGCCATTAAAATGAGTCATATAATTAAAACTATATTTTTCAAATAATTCAGATATCGAATAATAATTAGAATTGTAGTCGAAATATAAACCTCCATAACAATTATTCTATAAAGATATAAAAAGCAGTAAATAGTTTTTGTATTTGTTGTAAAATAAAAACAAAATCATTCAAAATAGAACTATAAAATGGTCAAACTGATTAAAGAAATGTTCAATTGTTTTGTATTTTTTTTTTTTTGAGCATAA